TATATATATATATATATATATATATATATATATATATATATATATTATATATTATATACAACTATACTTCTGCTTTATATATATATTATATCGAGCAAATTGCATTCTTAGCTTTGCTTTGCTTTGTGCCCAGCATTCAAAATGTTTCAAAACTTTATTTCAGACTATCCCTGTAAGAAAGATATATGGATTCTTTGGGACAACTCATATTCGTTGGGAGAAAAAGCATTTCAAGATGAGGTTAGACCGTTTATGAAAAACCTCATTAACAGCACAAACCTGAATGTGGGCCCAAATGGTACGCATATTGGCATTTTATCTTTCAGTACACAGGCGAATACTAGAGTGCTATTGGAACTAGGAGAAAAGAAAACTCGGGACGAACTACTTTACTACCTCGATTGTTTAAAGTACAACCGAATTTCTGGAAATGGTACTCGAACTGGAATGGCATTGAAAATAGCTGATGAGGTGAAATCATCGTTTAAACACCATATCGTAAAACGTTATTGTGCTTTGCTTCATGAAATGCTTGAAAGTGGCCGATAGAGCAAACAGTACAGCGTACCTCAGAGTTTCCATTATGGCATGTTTCATCCAATGAAGCTAGGGATGACCATGTGAAATGCCGAGCACTCTACTTCTTACTTTTCTTAGACTAGCATAGTTACAACATGCACAGTCAAAGTGATTTACCAGTTTAGTAGAAGTAGGCTAATTTATGATGCTAACAGGTTTGTGTGACGTTTACGTCGCATGACGTGCGCACACACCCCAAATAAAACTACTCTTTTCTTAACATTATCAGGATAACCACAGATATTCTGTTTACGCATGCAGCACATGACCTATACTCACACGCCAGGTAGTAAAATAACCAGGTGGCTTTCAGGTAGTAAAATGAATGACTAACCCCGGATACCTTTGAGGGTGGTAAAGGAGAGGGGGGGGGGGGGGGGAAATACATGCATGCAGCAACCTCTCGTCTATATTTTCCAAACATGATTTACATGAAGTATTCGGAAATTACCAACACTGAACGCAGGCTCGCTTCTGCCTCAAGTGTTGCCATGGCAACAATATATTATAAAATTTTAAATTTTTAAAATCTTTTTAAAAATATATACATAGGTAGTATACACGCTGTAAAATTGTTACATCAAAAGCACTGCTGTTCTTCACTTTCGCACTTTTCTCTACTCGTCCAAAAAAATGCCATAATAGCAATTCATGGCTTACGAAAATGCCCTTTACCACCCTCACCTTTGTCATTGGTCTCATTGGGACGTAATAATTCGTCCTCCCCCATTGGTGGCGCCACTGCAAAAAAGCTGTTACAAATCTCTTCCAAACTCAGACCGGTAAACTGCACATTAAAACTAAACGAAACATTTTTTATTCAATGTAGAAATTCCCGTGGGTTAGTCCGCAAAATTATCGGGCAGATGTGGGAGATGTGATCTTGATTTTCACAAACGGAGAACCGGTCAGACGCCCAGGTGAAGACAACTTTGGCGACAAATACAAAAGTAGCCGTTTTGGAGAAAGCATGTTAGCTAAGGACCGAGCTCAAAATCTCAGAAGTAGAGATATCGTTGTGGCTCAACTGGCGGTTGGAACAAACTATACGTTGAGAAAATTCAGAAAGAATGTTAAAGAATGGTCGCCGGCAGAGATTTATTTTGAAATGAACAAATACCATCTGGAAAGCAACAATACCATCATGGTCGAACTCATTAGATCTTTCGGCATCAAAGGTAAGAAAGTTCAGTGGTGTAGTGGAGGAGTCTCAGGGGGACTGAGTCCCCCTTGTTAAAATTTCATGTCGACTTGAGGGGAGCTGAGCCTCCCCCCAAAAAATGTTTTGCGCGTCGCATAATCTTAAACGAGAATGTTCGTTAGAATTGCATCTACATGTATGTATATATATATATATATATATATATATATATATATATATATATATATATATATATATATATATATATATATATATATATATATATATATATATATATAT